TCCAGGACCAGATGCAAAGCATTCACCTTCTTTGGCAGGGCACTTTGAAGTGAGTAGATCACAGTCATTACCACTAAGCGAGCATCTCGGCCCCATGATATTCGGCGAAGCATCGCCCAAATTAGCGGAACAGAAGGCGGCTATGAATTTACCCTGAAAAAATAAATGTGTGTGATTTCAGGTTAAAGGGAATCATTAAGCAGGTGTTTGTAGTTTTCTTTAATGATTTTTTATTGGCGGATCTTAACCTTTTTTCACCATACCAACGCGGACTATACTAAGTGTATATATTATCTAAAACATATGGCGAAATCCACCAAAATTGTTAAATTGTAATGCAACAAGTTGTTAACCCTACTTTATTGATTAAAAAAAAACCTTAATGGGGCCATAAATGATACAAAAACGTGTTTTTGCTTGAAAATGGCGTTGCGCCTATCTTAGTAAATGCATTATCTTCAGTTTTGCATAAAGAACAAGATTCCATCGCGAAATTGTTTTTAAATGAAAACTTAAAAAATACATATTAAAAAATATTTTGGAGTACTGTTAGTTTCTTCATGATCCAATGATCGCATCAAAACCAAATAAGTATGGGACCATCTTGTCAGGTACCACCATTCCTTTAAAAGAGAATTATAGAAATGGGATAACGTGGCCCAAAGTAATGAGGTAACAACAATACATGAAAAATAAATATAATTATATATATTCCGTCGAATTGATAACCTTTCTCCTTCCCTTTCATATCATAGTCATATAGTCATATTATTTAAAAGCAATAAAATATTGGCAAGGGGGATTTTAAGACAGTATTCCTTATGCACATATGGTGTTTTTTCAATCAAATTCTAAAAATGAGCGTTCCTCAACAAAATTCTAAAGTAGAGCGTTGTTAAAAAATTTTCTGATATAGGGCGTTTTTGAACTGGCGGCCGAGATAGGTCCGATCTTCCCCACTCAGCCATCGATATATTGAAAGACAGTTTTCTTTTTTTATTGTGAATTTAATATATTATTTAGTATAAACGAAACAGTACTATCAAACATGACCTTATAAGAAGGTTGGGTTAAGGATGGTGAAACTTGAAGGAAAGGCGTAGCGAAATGACTCTAGGATTGCCTACAATAAAGTCTTAAAGAAGTGTGAGTGTGCCATCAGACACCCCAAAAGGGCTCCTAGTAGAATTTATCGATAGCATTGCGTTATAGTGAGAGGGAGGGCCAAAAATTCTGGCGAAGAATCTCCGATGTATGTACATACATGTATACATATCGAGCCCTAGCTACCCGCCAAAAATATGTAAGCAACATTTTTTCAAAATTTTATTTTTGATACAGAAATGCATCTAAATGCTCTATGAAAATTTCTGCATTTTAGCGGTTAGGGCTCGATGTAGTCCGAAGCTTATTTCTTGTTGAGAACTTTGAAATATCTCTAATAAATTTTACCTTGCCTGGCACTTTATTTGTATTGTATTCCTTCTCTAAAAGTAAAGCCGCGTAGCCCATATTATCGGAGGTGACCAGTTTGTTGGTATTATTCATCGATGTCGCATGCACAGCGTACCAGTTGAAGGCGCCTATCAAATTACTGTCCGCATCCACAAAGCGCAACTGCGTCAACTCCTTATCCACATCGTGCTCGAATTGTGCACGCTCCTCCTCGGGATTGCGCAGATACGAGGTGGGTGAGCGATTGATATTCACATTTAATATTGTGGCTCTCGAAAGGAATATCTTTCCTTCTACCATATTGTCGGTGGCGCGTTTAATGCTCTGCGAAATAGACTCTTTAGTATTTTTACATAGCTACGTTCATAAAAAAAAAAAAATGACCAACCAAGTAACAGCCCTGCACTAGCGCTTCAAAAGTCTGTGGCACAAAGCCTAAAATCGATATATCATAAAGTAGATGCATAAGGAAGCCTCCAGGACCGCCGTGAGTGTGTGTCCCGCTGATGACGACATTATCAGCCGTGTAAATATTTCCATATCGCGCCTGCAAGCGTTTTACAACCTTGAGGGGGTGAAATATGAAAACCGCATTAGATGTGAAATTTGTTATATACATACATATGTACGTATGTATGTACTATATTTAATCAATATAGTATATAAATATGTAACTCACCTCTCTTTTTACGCCATAGCCCATCATGCCCGCATCGACCGAGACGAAAGCTATTCGCGTGTGGTTCTCATCTTCGACGACAAAAGCGCGCGCAAATTGCCGGAGGTGTAGTCCACGTCCCACTTGTTTGATATTCGCATAACCCATCTGTGAAGAATTAATTGTTATTTTTAAATCAAATGGTCCTAGTCAAATTTTTGGAAAATATTTTTTTTAATATTTCGCCCACAGGTATGGATTACCCGTACCGAAATTTCAATCCATATTTTCGAAAATTCAAGATTTGTTGCTATGAAGTAGTATCTTGAGAAATGCCATGAAGTTTCCCTCCCCCTTTTGAAGACAACGACCCAAAGTAGTGATAAAAGAGCACTCTCTCTGACCCATTACAGCAGAGATGGGCAGAGAGAGCTTTTACTCTGGACGCGCCTATACTGAATGTATAGAAAGCTTAAAAGAGCTTTGCCCCAGGGTAAGACGGTGCCCAGGACGTTATTATTAAAGCCCGCCTTAATATTTAGAATGACACCAACCGAGTAGTTACCTCGCAAGGGGTACTGCTTTGTAGGCATATTAATTTGAGGGTATTTTAAGCAATGATAATAGATGGGGCAAGAACGAGAGATGTCATCAAGGAGTAATTATCGTGTAAGGTAACAAAAAGCTGGAATAGACCTTTCTAATCCTAGGAGTTATTTGAAAGTTCTGAAACAGGAGGCGTTGTTTTGAATTTGTCTATTTCAAAACGAATTCACATCCTCTTCTGATTCGCTGCTACTTTTCCTCTCCGCTGTAAGTGATCTTTTAGTCTTAGCCTTAGAGGACATAAGGTTCGGGAATGTTTCCGTAAAGAATAAAATGTGAAAAAAACTCTCGGGAACATTCTCAAGACGAACATTATGAGAACGAAACTTTCGGAAACGTTTTCAATAAGACCAAAATGAGAACGAACGTATCGAGAACTTTTTCAAGGAGGATCAAATAAGAAAAAAGTCTGCGGAACGCTCTGCTGGAGAACCAAACGAGAATACAAGTTTTGACAGCCTAAAGGGTTGGGAGGGAATATCGTTTCAGTGAAAACCTTGATTGTTAATTTTCAGCCAGGGCAAAGCTGGATCATTTCGACTTCCAGATCGTTCATCATTAGGCACGCAACATTTATGAAAATATTTTTCGTACTCTGTGCATAATAAAAGTTTGTGTCTTAAGTCTTTCGATGTCTTAATTTGCATAACAATTTTTCAGTTTGTTTTTGATTGATTTTAATTTTGTTATCGCTCCAATTTTTCGCCGATAGTTAGTAGAAGATTTGTTACCGTTGGTTCTCTTTCAGAAAGTTCCTTAGACTTTTGTTCCAGGTTGGTCTTTACCGGAACATTGCGGAGCCTTTTGTTCTCTCAGGAATGTTTTCGAAAACACTGTTCGCATTTTGTTCTCTTTGGGAACGTTCCACAGTGTTTTGTTCTTATGTTATTCCCGTTGAGGACGTTCTTGATAGTCCTGTTCTCACTTTCGTTCTTGTGAAGACATTCCCGAAGAATTTTCTCTCATTTCGGTTTGGGTTTTTAATCGTTCTTGGGAACAAAACTACGAGAACGACATTTAGTTTGGATCATACCTTTTGTTCTCGGTCCCTGGTTGAAAGAAACTGTTAGGAGAATCGATTTTCTTAATATAACTTTTTTTTATAGGATTTATACAAGTAATTTGTAAACAAAACGGTGATATCCAGTAATTTGTGTGAAAGTATTAGTGATTTTTATGTATTTAAAGATTCTGTGGCGTTGTTTAGACGACGTTTCCATAGCACGTAGGTCGCTATGGAAAAAAATCAAAACAAAAAAGGGTGGAAATGGAGAAAAAAAACAATGAAATGTCAAATCGAATTAAGATGTGTCGCATAAACGCTTAATAGGCAGTGCTCCTCGGAACTTAATTTTACTTTTACTCGAGAATTGACAAAATTCGAGAAACCAAAGTAAGGGTACGTCTGACGGTGCCACCTTTGTTCTCTGCATAGTGTATCGAAGTATAGAAAATACTCAGTACTTGGTAGAGGTCTCAAGTATATACTTTTAAGTACTAAATCCACAGGAATTTTCACGAGTAAACAATCAGTGCGAAAGTGTTTCCTTTGGGCTGTTGTGACATGCCTTCTACGTTTTGCGGTTTGCCGGCAATTTTAGACATGTCACGCGAAGCGACAGTTTTATCTGACATGGCCTTGAGTATTGTTGAGCTGCGATTACATTTCGCGTCTGTACACCCGATCTCTAAATTATATGTGCACCACATATTGATAAATTTTAAACAATTTTGTTTGTTTATATTATTCAATTTACGCTATTTTTTATGAAAATATAGTTTATTTATCATTTAACGAAAACCATATACACACATACAGCCATGTCCTGCAAAATATTGTTGCATATATGTAATCCAAGTATTAAATGTTTCAAATGAAAACTGCTAGAAACACATCATTTACGTTATATCCATCGATTTAGTGCCAAAATTTTCCTTCTTTGATATAAAACCTCCGAAATAGACTTTGTAAATTGCACCGATTTGAAATCGTACGATTTGCAGAACATGGCTGATAAATACCAACTTCAAACTTTGCGCAATAATTAAAGAAAATTCAATAAACTTCCGTAAAAATTTCGAGCTGTTTATTTACATTTCCTAGAAAGATTTCGACAATGCAGTTTTTAGCTAGAAAGCAAGAGCTTTCCGTAGATTTGTGGCAATTTTTTTATGCTGTCTGTGGTTATTTCTTCCATACAAAGTATGCATTTTCGACGACGTTTTAAATATTGCACAAAGTATGAAACTTGGATTTGTACGATTTTCGTAAAAAAAAAAATTTAATCGAATAACAAAAAATTTATTGTTAAAAATTGTCAATATGTAGATATTATTTTTACACGAGATGTATTTACATAAGTATGTACATATGAATGTATGTATTAGTACAGCTTACAAAATGTATTTCCACTGGTGGACCCGTACAATCGGCACGTCCCACACCTATCTGATAAGCACTGCCACAGCTCCATGGCGCAACGCTGAGGCACAATACGACCAATGCCCTCAAATATATAAAGTGCCTATGGTAATTCATTTTATTTTATTTGTTTAAAGTTTTCTTCAACCACTCCACGACTTCAGCGACTTTTTTTAAGCTAAAATAGGAACTTTCAACAAGTTTGTATTTGCGCCGATTACTCCGATTCGATTACTGGCCTTTTTCTTACTGATTTGCGACACCGCGTTGTACTGAAAATAAGAACAAACAAACAAATATTATTTTCCATGTAATGCATTTAAGAAAAATGATCATCCCTTATGAAATAGCAATTTAGAGGCAGAATTTTTTTATGTGGATTAAGTGCATTCACGTATATACATACATATCGTCGTATAAAGTATAAAACCGCGTATAAACAAAGTGCAAAACCGTGTAACTAACATTTGCTGCCAAAAATTGGATTCGCTCACACAAGCTCTCATTGGGCTCAATTTTTAACCAGAAATGCGATTGCTTTATAAAAAAGCGAACCATTATGAAATATGAGTGTTTTTAATCTCTAGAAAATAATTTATATAATTCACATACACGGTTTTGCATTGTGTTGATACGCGGTTTAGTACTTTAAACGACGTTATGCTTGTGTGTACGTTGTACGTATGTATGCATGCATTTGCTTGAAAGGGGATATAAACTGCACATGCAGTAGTCTCCGGTGAAAATCAGAATGAGTCGTCAGTAAAGAAATTAGTTCTTAAAGTAAAATTTAGCAACTAGTTCGGTAATGAGTAATGTATCAGGTGGAAAGAAAGTGTTGTAGCTGTGTAAAGTTCTTCTTCTTCTCCTTCTTCTTCTTCTTCTTCTTCTTCTTCTTCTTCTTCTTCTTCTTATTTGGCGCTGTAACCGCCTAAGCAATTTTGGCCGAGTTAAACAAAGCAACTCTCTTCGTCGTTTCTCTTCTATGTCAACTGACGCCAATTGGAAATGCCAAGCAAAGCGGAGTCCTTCTCAACTTGGTCTTTCCATCGCAGTGGGGCCTTCCTCTTCCTCTGCTACTACCAGCGGGTTCCGAGTTAAATACTTTCAGAGCTAGAGCGTCGGAGTCCATTCGAAAGACATGGCCAAGCCAACGGAGCCGCTGGCGAAGAACTTGGCTTCACTTGGCATTTCCAATTGCGGTTACAGCGCCAATAAAGAAGAAGACAGTATCTTATCAGCAGTTTTTTACTCCTTACTGGTACATATTCTAATGAAAAACGAACCAGTTCTAGCAGGGGAATCAAGTAGATGGGTGAATAGGTGTATTCCAAAACGAATCACTATTTCATTTCTTTCAAGCTAGTGGTATATTTTACTGTTGCACTGCATAATTATCTTCTTTCCCATTTTGTGGCAACAGGTAAATTTCATACGTATTACAGACGCAAAAAAGGAGTCAAGGCGGAAAATGAGTAATCCACACCAATATACATACATACAAATGAATTGGGTGTAAAATAATACAAACTCTTTATTTACCGTCGATTTGGAATACATGCATACATATACATACAAATTTTATTGGTATAAATCATTCATACAAATAAATCAAAGTGTTTAAGAAAAAATCCAAATATTGTCCGTAAAAGATCCACCGGTGATTACAGAAAATATTTTATGTTATTTTAATTTGGACGACTTATGCAATCATGCCAATATCTATTACTGTCTTATTTTGATAACATTTTTGGCAGCAAAAATTATCACGTAACCTATGTTTGTTCATATGTATACATATATATATGTATATATGTAACTATTTAAGTACTTGCAGTGTCAAAATGTATGACAAGCTTTTTCTCTGTTAAGCATTTTAACTTTAACTTTGAGTGCAACGGCAAGTGTACGGAAGAACTCGTTAGTACTGCTAAAATTAACTATGGATTGTATGTATGTATGCATGTGTGTATGTATGTACATACATGTGTACATATGTATGTGTATAAGCACAAGGTTTGCATTAATTTTTGTGCTTTGTACCTTCATAAGATCAATTTTCTTTATTTATTTTTGTTTACTACCAAAAGGTTACTTTAATTATTATTTTAAACATGTAATTTTGCGCGACGAGAATATTCATTCATACAAATTTAGTGTTCCAAATTTTACGTAGGTACATATTTACATATTTATTTTATGAATAACAGTTCAGGTATCTGTTGTTGAATATGTGTACATTAGGGCGGGTTGATTTTTTATTTTTTTAAATCGTATAGCAAAAACGTAAACTACATAAAATTCTTAGAAAATTCTCCGAAGAAACCATGTATCTAAAATAAAATCCTAATCCGCGCCTCTCGACTTGAAAATTTATATGGCCGCCTTTGCCAAAAAAAATAAATGTTAGAAAAAATAGGTTTTTCCAAAAAGAAATCGAATTTTCTGAATAAAATTGTTTAGTAAGGTAGTTCTTTTGCACTTTATATTTTTTCTACACTCAAAATTTTTTTTTTCATTAAAAAATTATGCATCCAAGTAAAAAATTTTCAAGTCGAGAGGCGCGGATTAGGGTTTGATTTTAGACCTATGGTTTCTTCAGAGAATTTTCTTAGAATTTAATGTAGATTACGTTTTTGCTATACGATTTTTAATTTTTTTTTTTCATCCATACAAATCAACCCGCCCTAGTGTACATATATTTTGGACGCACAACGCAAGTTAAGTGAAAAAGTATTTTTTTTTCTGTCAGTTTCCATATTAGATTGAAAACTTTAGAAGTCCGTGGTTGAACAATGAACTCTTTACGCTAATTGAAAATAAAAACAAATTCTATACGTTAAAAAAGTAAAATATAAAAACAACATTTATTGTGAAAGTGTATTTAGTTCTTTGAAAGTAAAAGTGAGAAACTCAATCAATTTACAAAAGAAACAATACTATGAAGAACAAATCCAACAAAATCTTTATTCTGCAAGCAGACCATGGTCGATACCAAGGCATATCAAACAGGCATCAGCATTCGAGCAAAAACAACATTTGCGTGTATTTTATTTGCTGCTTCTGGTATCGAAAGTGTCAAAAACTGTTCTGATTTTT